CCGGACTTTTGGGGTCGCCCTGGCGAACTCTCGATTTTCAATAAGACTTTCAATAAGACTTAAATTATTATTAAAATTATTTTTAAGATAAACTAAATGAAATTATAATTTGCGTAATTACTATTGTCAGATATGCAGGGTTTGATCTAATTTGACTCAGCATACAAATTCGAAAAAAAGAGTAATAACCAATGCAAATTTAAATCTGTAGTAGCATTATGTATGTAGGTACGTAAGTACGTGGGTAGGTAGGTAGGTAGGTGGGTATCAGGTATGTAGGTACATGGGTACGTGAGTACGTATTTACTTGACGAAAGTATTTGACAACCTATAATATTTTTGCTAAATAATGTGTTAGTATTATGAATCACATGAGCATTACAGATTTCAGGATTTGGAAGATCGATTTAAAATTCCAAAGTCAAATCTACATGTATAGCATATACAGTATTTATTTCACAAAATAATTTTATCTAAAATTAAAATTACGTGAACTAACGTAATAAAACAATAACTATAATTGTATTATAATTAATAATTGTACGTATTTAATACGTACTGTTATAGTGCATAATAATTCAAATAGGTTAAGATTTAAACTGTTGCAATAACATTTATTTAACAAGTTTCACTAATACAGTAATATCTTAAAGAATAAATAAATTAATGATGTAGGAATTCCATTTTCTTAAATACGTAATATTAATATTACATATTTAGGGAGGCAATATAGAATCGATCAAGAAATAAGTTTATCGAGAAACATGATATTGAATTGATCAAGAGTCTTATCTATTAGACTGCATTCTGTATCAAAAGCATAGAATTTCTTATCTAATACGTACAGAATTATATTAATTCTGTATGCAAAATTCCATTAAAATTATGCTACATATTTTTTTATAGGGTAGACAATAATTTCTACGTATACGTATAAAAGAATGAAATATCAGATATGGATATGTATAATAATGCGATGATTATAAAGCACAAATAAAGAAACTATGGCAATTGTGCGACAAACTCAAAAGTAACCATAACTAGAACTACAAATGTTTTGTTAATGTGACTACTTTCTTTAGGCATTATAATCGTTCTATCACAGCATCTATGAATGAGGATTTCCATGAATAAAAAAAATTTATCCTGTATGTACTGTACATGAATGTACTGTACGTATAAGTTTATCAAAGAACCAATTCCCATTAATTCTTTCAGCAAACACAAATTAATTTAGGTTTACAAATGAAACTTAAAAAATAATTCTAGAAATCGAATTAAGAAAGTAATTTAGCCCCCGTGAACTTTACATAAAATTCGTTACACAAATTTTATTTTAGATGCTATGTTATGCAAAGTTTCGTTGATTTAACGGACGAGGAAACCAAAATTTTATATTCGAATGAGCTAATTTAAAAAAAAAGTATACATACAATATCGATATATATTTTATACATAATCCTTTTTGCTTAATGCATATATATACGTACGTACGTATATTTTTTAAGCATACTTATTTCTTATTATATAACATTATTGATTGCATATTTGCGCCAAACATATCAAATAATACTGATGCAGAGATTAATATATATTTTAATAACTTTATTTTGACAAGCATAATTAATATCGTAGATAATATCAAGAATTTGGGAAAATGATATTTTGTTTGTACTGTGATAAATAAGATAATGTACAGTTTTGTGAAATAAAAGATTTTATCAAATATTTAAAAAAGTTAGTATTTAACTGCTAATATATTTAGGGGATTTGATACATATACCATTATTTTTGCTATTCGTACCCTAAACTTAATTATCGCATCGTATGGTGTCGGGGGCTCCAATTCACTCCACTTTTGATTAGTAAGAATGCTTACTAATCGAAAGCGGTATTTGAATTTTGGAGCCCCGACATCATACGATGTGATAATTAGCAAAAATTACGCATGAGGGTACGAATAACAAAAATAAAGGTATGAATAATAAAAATAAAGGTATGAATAATAAAAATAAAGGTATGAATAATAAAAATAAAGGTATGAATAATAATTACCTATATTTATCGACAAGATTGTTAAAAACAAATATGATGATTGTTTTTAAATATAGTTATTTAAAAAAAGTTTATTTATAATATTATCCAAAATTAATTTGATTCTAAATCTACGGATGTTCCGTATCCATCTCTAACATCATCCATCCGTATACAACGCTATTAATATTCGTGATTATTAACTTTGAATATTGCTGTATTGAGCAGATCAGTACATATAAAAGGGTAAAAAAAATTGAAAATTCGTACGTACGTACGTACGTGTGTTCATTAGACCAATTCTTCCAATAAACACAGAGTGATCTGTTATGACTTATTATATATTACGTAATAACTATTCTGGCCACATTAAATTGGGCGTGGCCTAAAATTCTATCTCTTAGCACGAAATCTATTATCCTACGTAATTTCTTTTATCTCTGACCAATACTATTTGCAATACCAGAGTGTACTGTACCAATTAGAAAAGCCATTCCATTCATATTAATCTTATATGGGGAATGGACTAGGAAAACCAGGCTTTGGCATTTTTTTATCGATCTGAAGATTTTCGATCAAATTAAAGTATTGGTTCTTATTTTTATGAATTACACCTTTTCTTTTACATTAATTTAGTAAAATTTTTGATTTGAATAACATTCTTAAAAAATTCGACGTTCAAAAAGTAGAAAATTGGCCAATCAAATTGATTGATTGACCAATTAAATGAATTCCGTAATATCTGAATATCATATTAGTAATTACAATGATGTAACTATTTTCTAAAATAATAATCGCGTTTTTTTTAAAATTCAACTATCCGTCAAAGACTGGTTTTCCTAGTCCATTCTCCATATATGAGCATGTGCCAAGATCCAAAAAGTGCGGAGCAGTCAAAATGTACAACATTAAAGGTTGTACACAGTATTGGCATACAGTATCTCTTCTGTTACTCATAACAAACCCCGCGTAATTTTTATACTAATCTATACTGATCTGCTATAAATTTGTTACAAACGACTCAGATCGGAGATTAACTTGGAATAATAAATATTGCTCATTCGTTACAGGCTAATTAGGCATTAATCGGATTACATTTTGCAAATACCGCATTTAATATATAAAAACTTTTGGTGTAAATAACAGATAATAACTGATAAGAAAAATGTATTAATTAGATTTAGTCGTTTCGTCGATCTATCTATCGTTTAATATTTATTTCTTCAAACACATTCTAAACAATTATCTACTGGTGCGAAAATTAATTTAAATAAGTCTGCAAAAATAAATTTTGGATTAACTATGTGAAGAACGAACACGTGATCATCTCAACTACACTTATACACTTTGATATATGAAAATAAAATTTAATAAATAATTGTTTACTGTGTTTCAAGTTGTAGTATGTTTTTATCGGGCCTAGAATATACCGGAATTCACTTCACCGACCAGTATTTCACCGGCAACACTTAGCCGACATCACATGGGTTAGGGCTAACATTTGATTAGGTACGTACGTACGTACATATTTTTAGTGAATTGTCACTTTGTGATGTCGGCTAAATGAACTGTCGATGAAGCGAAACTTGAGAATTCAATATTACTCGCTTAGAACTAGAGTATGTATTTTTTTTGTGTATTACATTCACATATTAACAATAAATTGTTGTAACGGTAAGCTTAATCTTGATAAGATGATCAAAGATATATTATGATTATCAGTAATTTCGACGATTTTTTTGTGTTTATTGATTTTTAGGTGAATCTGTCAAGAATTTGTTGAATTAACTGGTACACAGTGACATACATTTCATTTTGTACGGCCATACGTTTATTTATAACAACCTTTGAGTTTTATGAATAGGAAAATTCACCACTTTACTACGTATACAAAGTTATTAACAAAGAAAGTTATTACCGGTATATACGTTTATTTATCACTTCAGATAACGTATGTCACCATCACATATCAGATATACATATCACCCGTGGTTTACGCACGTACGTATCCATTCTTTAATTACCTATTTTGGTGAACACTTTATCACACATAATAATGATGTTATATATTTCATGTAACAATGTAGCATCATCCTTTAACGTTAAAATATACTGTATATATATGTATAAAAAAAAGTATATATCTACTGTATAATATATTTGAGTAAATAAAAATAACTTTTAATTTTCTTTTGCAATATATAATTTTCTCCGGCATATGAAAAATACAAATTTAAGCTATCATTTGTAATCCATATACAATATTATCTATCCAATCAAAAATTCAAGAATTTAATTATTCCAAAGAATTTTAATTATTACTATACTTTACTATATATATAATCACCCCGAATGATGGAATTAAATTTCATTATTTAAAAATGTATTTATATTGATACACAACATGATACACTTACATTATATGAACGCAAACATATATATAACTGCTATTTTTTTTCTTGTTTTCCAAACAAAAAAAAAAAAAAAAATTATTCTGTTGCATGGTTTTCTGTTATGGTTTCTCTAATATATTGCACGTTATTTTTTGTACAATAAAACATTCGGATCTTTACTATCTTATATTAATTTCCTTTTTTTATCGATTTGTACATCTTTTTTTTTTTTTTTTGCAACTGTTTTTTAATAGTTGATTTTGTCCTAATATAGTATCTGGTATATTATCAAATTATCACCGAATTTTTTTTTATTACGAGTATTATATAAAGTTTTTTCTTTATATAAGGAATTTATCTTTGTATAAAAAAGATAAATTAATTAATGTTTATATAAAATATATAAAATAGGTTATAGTTTTTTTTTTTTACATTTAATTACAGAAAAAAAAAAAACCCCTTTAAAATTCATTTTATTCCATCCAGTCATTCATTTCGATCTTTTTATCATATTTGGATTTTCTTATAAAATTCACTTATCAGATATTACATACATAAAATAAACTTACCGAAATGTCAAGTACTAATGGTCCTAATTTCGATCATGGGGATATTGCCTGGGTTTTGGCCTCCACAGCTTTAGTGTTTATCATGGTTCCGGGTGTAGGTTATTTCTATAGTGGTATGGCCCGTAGTAAGAATGCTTTATCTCTTATCATGCTAAGTGTGTTATCAGTTGCTGTTGTATCTGTTCAGGTATTTATTTATTATTTTTATATATATTGAAAGTTTTACGTTCTTGATTTTTTTTTCATTAATTCCTCTTTTTTTATAATATAGTGGTGGTTACTTGGTTTTAGTTTAGCTTTTGGTTCATCTTCAAGTCATTTCATCGGAAATCTTGATCATGCTTTCTTGAGAGATGTAGATAATAGAACTACTTCTATGGGCGTCACTACTATACCTAGTGATGTATATGCAATTTATCAATGTATGTTCGCCGCTATCACTCCTGCTTTAGCCATTGGTTCTGCCGCTGAACGTGGTCGTATTATTCCTATGATCATCTTTATTTTCCTTTGGTCTACTTTAGTTTATGATGTAATTGCTTGTTGGACTTGGAATCCTGATGGTTGGGCTTCTAAAATTGGTGTTTTAGATTATGCTGGTGGTACCCCTGTTCACATTGCTTCAGGTTCTGCTGCCCTTGCTTATGCTATAGTTCTTGGTAAACGTAATGGTCATGGAACTGATGAATTTAAACCTCATAATGTTGCTAATGTTGTTCTTGGTACTTCTTTACTTTGGTTTGGTTGGTTCGGTTTTAATGGTGGTTCTGCTTTAGCTGCTAATGGTCGTGCTGCTATGGCTTGTGTTGTTACAAATTTATCCGCTTCTGTAGGTGGTCTTACTTGGTGTTTATTGGATTTTCGTTTAGAAAAAAAACTTTCTGCTCTTGGTTTTTGTTCCGGTGCTGTAGCTGGTCTAGTATCAATTACTCCTGGTTCTGGTTATGTTGATTATCCTTCTGCTGTAGTTTTCGGTTTTCTTGGTGGTTTTGCTTGTAATATGGCTGTTAGACTTAAACATGTTTTTAATTATGATGATGCTTTAGATGTATTTGCTGTACATGCTGTTGGAGGTTTTGTTGGTAATATTCTTACTGGTATTTTTGCTAATGAATCAATTATTAAAATGATTGATCCTACATTAACTGGTGGTGGTTGGATAAACAAAAATTGGATGCAAGTTGCCTATCAACTTTCCGATTCTGTTGCTGGTATGGTATACTCTTTCTCTGTAACCTTTATCATATTATGGGTTATGGATAAGGTGCCGGGACTTTCACTTCGCGCTGACCCTGAAGCTGAAGCTAAAGGTCTTGATGAATCTGAATTAGGTGAATTGGCTTATTATCACGTTGATAAACTAGTTACTCATACTAAAAGAACTAGTGGAAATGGTTATGATGACTCCGTTAAACAATCAACAATGATGTAAAATTAAGATATTAAGGTTGTAATGGTGAAATAATAATTTATATTTTTATTTGTTTATAATTTTATTTTTTTTTTTAAGCTTTAAATTATTATAAAAAGCATTTATAGGTATTATCTACAACAAAACTTTTATACATATCGGTCTATACATAAAGAAATGAAAAGAATCAATAGTAGATTTTTTTTTTTTTTTTAACATATAATATATTTTTATACCGGATATACAGCATTAGGTTTTTTGTTATATATAATTTTTTTTTTTTTGTATTGTTAATGGGGTTTTCAAAAGGAAAAAAATTTTTTTAATAGAAATTGTCTTTTTGTTCTTTTAAATTTTAATAAAAATGAGACTAAATTATGAGACTAAATTATGAGACTAGATTATGAAAGTTTAATGTACCTTTTAAAATGCGCGCAGTAGGGATGTAATATACACTGCATATAATTTTTATAATTTTGAATTACAGTATACGGCAAACCCACCAAAACAACCAATCGGAATACCTAACCCAATTAAAGAACCTTGTATTTCCTTAAATTAAGGCAATTAAAAGTATTGTTCTTGATTTAAGTTTTATTAAACTTCATTCGAAGTGTCAAAATGACATTCAATTCATATCATGTGATTATCTGGACTATTTTCCTAAAAAGTCCAGAACCGGTTCGGACCCGGTCCCCAGCGGCATCCCTAGCGCGCAGTAATAAGCAATTAATACGTACAAAAAGAATTGTCATGTTTGGCATTTTTCTCACGCTTATATCGTTCGATTAGTGTTGGGATTGTGCACATACCGATAATTTTAACCGATTGGCGTGATAAATACTGCCGCATTATCGATATTCAAAATTAGCATAAAAGAATTAAGGCTCATATTGCATGACTGGAAATGATGATCGGTGGCTTAGCGTAACTTAAAAAAATTTTTTATATAGCTTTAGACTAAGATTCTTTCCCATGATTACTCAGAAATAGGGAACTATTCCAATGAACCGTACGACGCATATCAAGTTACGGTTACGGTTACGGCAAAAACCGTATGAATCCCAAATACCATATAAATGAATTCAAAATTCTGCATTAATGATTTAAATTTGATATCTATCGTATGATTATATTAAACTATATTAAACTATCGTATGATTGCATTAAACTATAATCAATATAAAAGTTTGTTTCGTCATCAGTTGAATGACGTTACTCTATTAATTTATTTTGAATCAAAATATTAACATTAAACAGATAATTAATAAAAATAATATATAAATCATTTTCTTGAAATTAGTCTATTAATGAAAGGTTTTTTTTACAATGAATACAAATAACTAATATCAATCAACTTTTTACATGTCAATTGTCCAATTCACAACAATTAAAATTGCTTCAAAAGCGAAATGAAATACTTATGTTTCAAGAAATTGACAATAATCAAAATAACTCATCCGATGAAGAAAATTTATCTAACAAACCTAAAAAAAGGTGTTGTGGTGGACCCAAACGAGATCTAGTTTGGGAATATGTTAATACTGGTGATCATTTAGGGGACAGGCATTATGAAGCTAGCTGTAAACATTGCCCAGTTTCATGAAATCATGAAAAACCACAAATACTTAAATGTCATTTAGCACAAGAATGTATAGAGGTTCCTTATAAAATTAAAGAAATCTGGCAAAACAATTTGGCAATGAAAGAAAAGACTATTAAAAGGTAAAATAAAATTGAAATCAAATTAGGATTATCAGAATTAATGTCAGAAGAAATACAACACCAAATTGATAAAGCTATTTTAAAGGGATGGGTGTATGCTGGAATTCTCTTTGAGACTATTAATAACCCTTTTATTATTGATATGTTTAAAACTTTAAATGCTAAGTATAATTCTCTTTCTTGATATACTCTTTCTGAATGCATTCTTGATGAAGAGGTAGCTAAAGTTGAAAAGTTAATTAATAATGAATTGGATAATGAGATGAATCTAACTTTAAGTAAATAACTTTATATTTAATTTTTTATTCATAATATTTTTAATAATTAATCAAGTTTTTTTTTTTAGCACTTGATGGATGGACTGCACCAACTAGTGTATTATTTTATAATTATATAATTACAACTCTTAGTATTTGTTTCAAATTAAAGACTATTCAACTGTATTACAAACTAGAAATTTTCTGGCTGAGGAAATCAATGATGTTTTAAATAAAATTGGAATAAAAAAATTTGCTGCAATTGTTACTGATCATGGTTTCAATATAAGATGGGCAAGAAGATTAGTTAATAAGCAATATAATTTTATACTTGATATATGTTGTAATACACATGCCATTCATTTAATTGCATCAGATTTATCTAAAACAGATGAAATTAAAAACTTAATTAAATGATGTGAAATGATAATAAACTTTTTTCATCACTCCTTAATAGCTAATGGATATTTAAAAAAAGGATTATCAATTATGAATATTGAAGGAGGCAAGCTTAAAACTTATTGTAAAACATGATGGAGATCTTTATACATGACTATAAATTCTCTTATTTGTATGCAGCTAGTGTTTGACTGGGTAAGTTAGCAAATATCTTAAAATTTAATTTAATATATATGATTCTAAATTAATATTTATTTTTAATATATTTTAGCTTATTAATAATCATACAACTATAACTCTTTCTGATAATCACTTGAACCAAAATTTCTCATAAAAGAAAAGTTAAGTTTGGATACTGGAGAAGTAGAAAAGACCTGTAGTAGGTGGACAACAGTATGGTTTTTATAAAGGTCAACCTTTTGTTTACTTGTGGGAACTCCTTTATATATTCAATATGCAAGCCGAAAGCGTCTTTATACAAGATAACTGGCTGGGGATGTGTGCCCTTGTATATGAAATTTCAGTGGGGATTATGGTTTTTCTCTGTCAACGAAGTAACCTGTTGCGAAATAACTGGGGAACAGTAAAGAACTTGTTTTTCTCAAGCCACACTCTTTTTTTTCGGCCAAGTGACTCCTCACTTACTTACTTCCGCTTTCCTGCCAGCCTTCCAAATTTTTTTCATAAAAGTGAAGATTTGGCTTACCCCCTCCAAAAGATCGGCATTGTTTACTTTCCATTTTCGGACGAACTCGGTAGATTGCAACCACGTGTTTGTTTATTTGAAAATATGGAGCTACTCTACGTGACAAGATCGGGTCCCAGGTTAAAGAGATATCCAATAAGGAATATTAAGTCGGAAAGGAAAGATTATATTAGAAATATATAACAGTTGCAGTTGTTATACAATTTTTATCAGCTTTGCACAGGTTATAATAGTGCATTTGTATTTCTTTTATGTATGTCATGATACCTTGTTCCTTTTTGTGCTTCTTCCATCTTTTTCCCTTTACGATAGAATCTTATTTAGAACATACTTTTTTATATATGTTTCTTTTTTTTTGTTTTTGTTTCTTTTTTTCCTAAATTTTGTTTTTCTTTAGTAAATTCGGCATATATTTTTCCTTTATAAAAAAGTAAGAGATAAACTATTCTGCCCGGATCTAGGTGGAAGAAGTTTATAAGAAGGGATAGGTGGTCATAACAGGCTAGTAGATCCCGGCCAGTGATATGTGGATCCGAAATCTGAGGTAGATCTAGGAAAAGCAAGGAGGCTGCTTTTGCTCTAACAGGTCGTACATAGGTCCAATTGGAAACCGGGTGAATCATACTTTAGTATAAAACAGCTTAGCTATAATTAGATATTTAAATGTAAAAATTTGTTCCATCTATATTAAAATAATAAAGTTGTGGTATGACCACTTGGAAGAAAAAAAAAATAAATAATCATACAACTGTAATTTCTGACAAGAATGTCTTTGATTTAATTCAAAATCATAAATTTTTTATTCAATGTTGCTATATATTAGCAATTTTAAAACCTATAAAAGATATGATTCATCAATTAGAAAGCCAGTATGCAACTATTGCTGATTGCTATATAGTATTAATTAAAATTACAGCAGCTATAAATCATCTTCCAGATATCAACTTGTTTAAACCTAGAGCAATAAAAGTTTATAATTTATGGTATAAAGATATTGTAACGCCATTATATCAGCCTGCATACTACTTGTATCCATTATATCAAGATATATATATAATTATATACATCAGCAAAATATACTAACGTAAACTTATTACACCCTGAAATATTGTGCAATAATTACGGTCTGGACATAATATTGCGCAAAAAATTGTGCAATATTGCGCAATATATAACATAATATTATAAAATATATTACACAATATCAGTCACACAATTTTTCATGCAGATCACAGGTAAATTTTTTACTATAAAATTTTAGTGATCGATATTTATATGATCAACCTATTTTTTATAGTAAATTGCAACAGTAAGCCCTTTTCAAATAGCTTTTTCAGGGGTTTCCTAAAAGAAAATATATTTGTATACAAAGTAACGTCAGATTATTGTTATAAGCACTCTTCGATTTTCTAAGTTTAAAGCTGAAAAATAATAAAGCTGAGAAAGATCATGCCTGCAAAATAGGTGTTTTGTTTCATTTTTTATATATATAATATTTGTCTTATTTTGCTTTAAAAACTTTTTTTTTAAAAGTTCAATTTACTAAACCTCTTGACAATTATAAATTGCTAGATATTAAGCAAAGTTGCAGATAACTATGAGGTGTTTAGTAGTTACAAGCTAATTAATATGTTCGAATAAGTATAATTAGAATTTAAACAGGTTGAAGAAAACTATTATTGACTAAGCTAGTTTTTAGATAAGTAGTTTTTT